GCCGGGGGGGGGGGCGGTGGTCCTAATATATTTTTTTTCAAACAACAAATGAAAAGAAGGATGGATGGATGGATGGATGGTTAGATAGATGGATGGACAAATAACTGCGTGGATGGATGGAAGGATGGAGATAGTATGTATGTATGTATGTATGTATGTATGTATGTATGTATGTATGTATGTATGTATGTATGTATGTATGTATGTATGTATGTACTACTACTACTACTACTACTACTACTACTACTACTACTACTACTACTACTACTACTACTACTACTACTACTACTACTACTACTACTATGAGTCTACAGTATGCTTTATGTGCTTTACAACCACTATTACGAAACCAAACCCCAATACACTCACTATCAGACTCGGCTTTCCGAATAATTGAGTGCATGTACACGTGTGCGTGTGTGTGAGTGTGTGTGTGTGTGTGTGTGTGTGTGTGTGTGTGTGTGTGTGTGTGTGTGTGTGTGTGTGTGTGTGTGTGAGAGAGAGAGAGAGAGAGAGAGAGAGAGAGAGAGAGGCATGGCGTGGTGTGTGTTTATGTGTGTGTGTGTGTGTGTGTGTGTGTGCTTGTGTGTGAATGTGTGTTTCTGTATGTGTGTGTGTATGTATGTGTGTGTGTATGTATGTGTGTGTGTGTGTGTGTGTGTGTGTGTGTGTGTGTGTGTCCGCGTGTGTGTGTCCGCGTGTGTGTGACCGTGACGTCACTCACTAGTGTAGATCCAGGTTATCTCCGTCGGAGAGGTAGATGAAGGAGGTGTTGGTGTTGTGGACCACATCGGGCACCGCCACGATCATGTAGTGCCACCACACAGGCGTGGTCGTCTCTTTTACTGGAGGTGTGGGTGGTGGTGCGGTGAGGGGATGTGGTGGGGAATTGTAGAGATAACGATAATGATAACAATAATATCAGTGAAAAAAGTTATATAATAATAATAATAATAATAATAATAATAATAATAATAATAATAATAATAATGATAGAAAATGATACTACTACTACTACTACTACTACTACTACTACTACTACTACTACTACTACTACTACTACTACTACTACTACTACTACTACTACTACTACTACTACTACTACTACGAGGATTAATGATAACGATTATAATATTAATCATAATTTTAATGATAATAATTAATGTATAGCAAACATCCACGCTGTACAGTGTGCGCTTTACAACTAATATTACCCCGGCAGAGCGAAGAACACACGGAAACGATCTGGGCTTCTCGAGAAGCATGCAGTGCAAGTTGATTACGCTAACTGACTAGATTCTAGATCGTTCATCTTTCACCGTCAAAAGCGGGGTATTCATCCATAACCTGGGTGGAGAGGAACATTTGTGTCAAGTTCCTTTCACCTGGACACAACAATGGGTCCCTGACAGAATTCAACCCCACGAATTTACGAGTGAGGGCCTAGCCACTAGACCATCGAAACCACTTATAGGTATTGTGTCTCTTTTGCTCCCTTATACTTCACGAGGTTATTGAGGTAGGATGACACATCTGTACTCCCTGACTTGGGACCCGGGATTTTATCTATCTATCTATTTCTCTATCTATCTATATATCTATCTAACTATTCATTTATTTTCTATTTTTATTTGGGGTGGGGGGGAGGCAAAAGACGAGGAGGGAGATCGAACAAATATAAGATAAGGACAAGACATGATAACTTGGATTGAAAGAAGACTACTCAAGCCGGCAGGATGGTAAAAAAGAGTATTGTGTTGCAGGTAGGTCCAAGAAGCATAGTGAAACTAATGGGAAGAAGAAGAAGAAGAAGAAGAAGAAGAAGAAGAAGAAGAAGAAGAAGAAGAAGAAGAAGAAGAAGAAGAAGAAGAAGAAGAAGAAGAAGAAGAAGAAGAAGAAGACACACACACACACACACACACACACACACACACACACAGAAGAAGAACAAGAAGAAGAAGAAGAAGAAGAAGAAGAAGAAGAAGAAGAAGAGAAAAAAGAAGAATAAGAAAAAAAACCCAGAACAAGAAAGGGGAGGGGGGGGAGGGGTCCAGAGGTAGGCCTCTTAATTTAAAGGTTATCTCTGGCAGGATCACTCCAAGAAGTTGGAGAGCCTTGGGAACTTCGTAAACAACCCCTGTGCAGGAACACACACACTCATATACACCCCTGCACACATTACCCCCCCCTTCCACACACACACACTCTATCTATCTATCTATCTATCTATCTATCTATCTATCTATCTATCTATCTATCTATGAACATCCACAAGCAAGTCAAATGGACACTTGCAACACAGCGACAAGCACTGCCGAACCACTGTCTTAATGATTACTGTCTTGTACACAATTATTCCTGACGACCAGTCATGTGATGCTCGTGAGCTTCGCCATCGCACGTGACTGACCCAATTTCAATTCCCTTCACCGCATGGTGTTTATCGAGTTACCTTGCTCTTTTGTTTGGTATGTTGTGACGATCTCAGACCGGTAGGGGCGGGCACGAGACGAGCCGAGTACTCATTTCTCGCGGGTAACGGCCTTCCCGGCGCTTCTTGGGCATTAAACTACTACTCGGTACCGAGACGTGATACTGCTCGTTGGCTTGACATAACGAGTATCAGTAACGAGAGTAAGAGAGCGAGAGGCGAGAAATGACAACGCAGACAGTGCAACCCATCTCCTTGCCGTCCTGTGTGTGAAACTGAAAGGGAGGGGAGAGGTTGGCGAGACGAGGCGAGTGGGGAGTTGATCAGGGCCTAGGCCTAGGTCGTCTCCCTACCTTCCTTCACCGCCTGCGCCTGCGCAAGAGGGCAAGCCTAGTTTCTAAGTTTAGATCCTCGCCACGACGGTCTTCTCGCTAAACGAGCTGCTCGTTCTGTGGGACGAGAAGAGAAATCTCGGCCACGGCCGGCCTTCTCGCTGAACGAGTGGCTCGAACTGCGGGGCGAGAAGAGAAATTGGTCACGAGACGAGAAGTATTTCTCGAGACACGAGACGGGAAGTATTTCCCGTTCTCGGGACCGGTCTCGGGACCGGTCTCGGCGAGAAATAGGTCAGTTTCCCGGTCTTCTCGCTCGGGAAGGAAAAAACGCTTCCCGCCCGTCTCTACAGACCGGGTTAGCCTTAACAGGCACGATCGAAGTCTGCTTCTTAAATGATCTAACTTGTGAAGAAGTGTCTGAACCCCCCCCCCCCCAACAAAATAAAACAAATCCCCAACAAATCAACTCCAAATCCTACAAAACAAACAAACAAACAAACAAACAAACAAACAAACAAACAAACAAACAAACAACAACAACAAAAACCCAATTGTGAGGCAGCGTGGTGGAATCAGGCTGTCGTCAATTTTTGGGCATGTAAAGTTATTGGTATCATCGTAAAGCTTGTTCACTTGTGTTTATTTGGAAGAGAAAAAAATATCCGTTTATCTTGAATACAGGTCCAGATATTTGCGAATGAAGGAGGCGGGGGTCACATGTTTTCAGAGGCAAAATTAGTGAGAAAATGGCCGCCAAAGATTAGTTATTTCCTTAGCTTAAGAGTCCGTAGTAAATG